AGTGTGTCAACAGACCTCGAGCCGGGTCTTCAGTCAAGGGCTTGCTGTTTAGAGCAGTGGCTGAGAAAGCCAGTTGCCCAGCACCTGGAAGACCCTTTGGCAGAGGAGGGGAGCTACTGGTCTGTGGGAAGCTGGTTTGAGTGGTGGCCCCTCCTCTAAGAAGGTGGGGCCAGTCTGAGCCGGCTTCCTGTCCAGTCCACCCAGACTATGCTCTCAGGGTCACATGGGCACAATTCAACTTGCAACCAGTATATTACAAACATACACAAAATGCACAATATCTTAGAAAAACATAACTTCATAAAACTACTCAAGTAGGAATGTAATTTTTGGTTAAATTTTTTACTTAAATCAGAAGTTTTAAAACCCCCCTCCTCCCTAAAAAAAAAAAAAATGACTAAAATAAAACAACCCATTAAACCCGGAAGATTTTTTCCACTAGGACCCAAACTTCAAAGAACAGATAATTGTTACCTTAAACAACATGTTCCAGTGAATATAAAATAAGGGAACACTGCCCACCTCATTCTATGAAGTAAAATAATTTTGATGGCAAAATCAGATAAGGACAGAACAAGAAAGTAACAATGAAAGGCTAATCTCACTTCTAAATGTAGATGCAAAAAATCCTAAATTAATCGTTAGTCAACTGAATCCAGAAATGCCTATGAAAAACACATCATCACCCAGTTGGAGTCATCCTAGAAATGTGAAGATGGTTAAAATTAGAAAGCAAACTAGCGAGATTTACCATATTCACTGGTGAAAGGAGAAAACCATTGGATCATGTCAACAAATGTCGAACAACTTTTGATAATATTTGGCATTGTTTCATAATTAATACCAATAGCAAACTAGAAGCAGAAAGCACCTTCCTTAGCCTGGTAAGTGGCAGCTACTGAAATTATAGCAATTTAAAAAATTATATGGCAAAAATCATATGTAACTGTAAAATGTTGAAAACATTCACTTTCAGATCAGGAACACAATGACTTATCACCACTTCTATTCAACATTGTACTGGATGATGCTTTTCACTAGTGTGATAAGACAAGAAAAAGAAATAAAGTTATTAGAATTATAAAAGAAAAATATAATAAATACAATCCAAGAACCTTGTATGCATATATGCATGGCCCATGGCTACAGAAAATGAGGCAGTGAGGGCCTGGGGTGGGGGGTGGACTGGGAGGGTCAACGGGGGGAAAGGGGACATATGTAATACTTTCAACAATAAAAAATTATTTTAAAAAGAAAGATTACTTTAATCTGATTTCCAACCCATACAAAAATAAAAAGAAATATAAACTACTAGAAATAAGGGTTCATCAAGGTTGTTGAATGCAAAACAGATATGTAAAACTGGTAACATTGCTATTCACCAGCAACAAAAATTATAAAATGTAATTTTTAAAAAAGGATATATTTTTCAATGGCAACAACAACATATCAGGTACCTAGAAATAAATATAACAAAAGATGCACAAAACTTTTACAAATGAAATTCTAAAACTTCATTGAAGAACATAGTAGAATACCTAAATAGATGGAAATATAAACTGTATTTATTGATGGGAAGATTAAAGTTTGTAGCAACAGCAGTTTCCCCTGAAATCAGTCTATAAAGTTCAATATAATTATAATAAAAATTCCAACAAGATATTTTTCAAAGGTTGACAAAATCATTCTTAAATTCATACAGAAGATTAAAGTATGAAGAATAGCCAAAACTCTTTAAAAGAGGAAACCAAAGATGTGTATGTAGTGGGGGAAACTTATTCCAACAGATAGCAGTACTTTCTTTAAAAAATAGTGTGGTATTGGCCCAGAGAGTGACAATTAGGCCAATGGAATAGTTCCGGGTCTAGAATTAAACTCATTTATATCTTATAGTCATGGCATTTGAATTATAGGAAAAGACTAGCCCCAATGGTGATGGAGCTATACTTCCCTTTAAAACAGCAACCACTAGTAATCTGACCCCCACCACCATTTGGGAACTCCTACCCTATGCTGGACACTGTGCCACACACATCAGGCACAATTCCTAATGCTTTTGCCATAACTATTGTCACCTCCATGACAGATGGAGTCTTTCAGCTCTGTAACCCAGTGACCACCATTCTATACCAATGAGGTTAAGGATTTCGGATTTTAGAAACCTCCCTGTGTGACAGAGAGGGTCCTGAGTTGCTCACACACATGCCCCAACGGAATGCAGGCCTTCCATGGGTTTCCACAGACACAATCCTGAGTGGTCCTTAGGACAAACGCTTACTGAATGAACGCAGCGCTGCATTCCCTCCTCTGCCATGGTCGGCAGCTGGGTTTGATCCGCATAAGCCAATACCGGAGTACAGCTCTATTGCCAGCAATGTCACTTGGGCAGAGAAGGGGTTGATGTTTCATTTCCAGCCTCACAGAAGCACAAAGAGAGTCCTTTGGGCTCCTCAGATGGAGTGCAGCCAATTCACGTGCAAAATTCCCTTGTTTCTGAGTCTTTCTGGCTTCCTCTTGTAAAATGACTGTCAGCCAGGGAAACGTCATCTTTCCCACGTTTTCATCTGTTTCAGCTGTATGGGGCAAGTTGCTAAGTATCATCCTGGCGTACAGTCTCTCCCATTAGCCATAGAAGAATGCAACACTTACGAGTCATATGAAATGGGAGATGAGTAATATCTCCGTGTGTGTAAAGGAACAAGAGCTTATGAGTGAAAAATAACCAGTAGAGGGGGAAAAGGAAGTGTGATGAGATTAAGTTAAACATTTACAGTTATCTTGCTGGGAGTTTTAAAACAAATGCCAGTACAAGTAGCAGTATATGCCAGCGTCTACCAACACTCTACAATGCTTTTTAACCTTGTTTTTTGAATACCCTCCACCCTATTTTAAAACAAAAAAGATAGCATGGTTATAAAGCAAAAGTCAAGTAATATAGTAAAGTACAAAGAAAAGAGTGAAATAAAATCAATACCCACTTAAAAATAACCATCACTGCCCTAACCGGTTTGGCTCAGTGGATAGAGCGTTGGCCTTCGGACTGAAAGGTCCCAGGTTCGATTCCGGTCAAGGGCATGTACAGTGGTTGCGGGTACATCCACAGTGGGGGGTGTGCAGGAGGCAGCTGATCGATGTTTCTGACTCTCTGTCCCTCTCCCTTCCTCTCTGTAAAAAATCAATAAAATTTATATTAAAAAAAACCATCACTGACTTAGGTGAATATCATTCTGGACTTTTTTTTAACTGATAAAAGGATAGAGAATATTTTTATAAATAGAGACTCATTTTATCACGTTTATTTCTAATCACATTAATTTGTAAAAAATAGCCATTTTTTGGTTTGTATTTAAGACAAAAAAATAAACTGAAGCAATTACTAAACTTTAAATATTTCTTTATCCCAATAGGAATTTATTTAAAAATCCATTCAAGTTTATTATTTTTTTAAATTACCAAAAAATTCGCCTGGCTGATGTGGCTCAGTGGTTGAGCATTTGACCTATAAACCAGAAGGTCATGGTTCAATTCCTGATCAAGGCACATGCCTGGGTTTTGGGATCAATTCTCAATAGGAGGTGTGCAGGAGGCAGCCCATCAATGATTCTCTCTCATCATTGATGTTTCTCTCTCTCTCCTTCTGAAATCAATAAATGTATTTTTTTTAAATTACCAAAAAATTAAAGTTAGTCATTATGTTTGCTTTTTTTGTTTAGACAATATCAACTCTCTGCTATAAAAATGAGATTGGCACTAGTATAACCTCCCTTCCTCCACTTCCAACTTATGTCATATTATTAAGGTTTATAATATTTGCAATATGTATCTATACTATGATTTTGGTCTTAGTTCTTTATATAAATTCAATGTTCCTGCCAGTCATTTTACTATAAGCTTCTCCATTATAGAGTTATTGATTTCATCTCTCCTATCAAATGGTTTCTTAAGAAGAACTCATAGGTGCTTAAGAGTACCTGATGTTATCTTTGACAACTTGGCTGCCAATAATATCCTTAAGTCACTTTTTTCCTACTCAGAGTTTTAGATGCATTCCTCCATTTTCTCCTGTCACTGACTCTTATGGAAGTTTCAGACCCTTTGGAGACTTGCATTGTCTGCCTGAGTGGTGAAGAATTCTTCTAGTTCATTACCTTTTCAGGATACGTTTTAGTGGCAAGTACTTTCTGAGAGATTTCCTAGAACATAGGACACTTTTTCAATCTGCAGGTTCATTTCAGGAAGCTTCTTCTCAGAAAACTTTTCTGTTTTATGTCTTTCAATACTTCTTTAGTTCCTTCCTTTTTTGGGGGCAGGGAGGAGGTCACCAATTACAGGTATGTTAGAATATCTTTGTCTTCCTACAATTATCCACTCAGAGGAAGGAATTATCCATCCTGCCCAACTCTCCAATCAACTTCTTCCCAAAACCTGTGTTGTTGTTTTTTTTAAAAACACACACATTTTTATTGATTTCAGAGAGGAAGGGAGAGGGAGAGACAGAAAGAGAGAGAGAGAGAGAGAGAGAGAGAGAGAGAGAGAGAAAGAGAGAGAGAGAGAGAGAGAGAAAATCATTGATCGACTGCCTCCTGCACGCCCCCCTACTGGGGCTCGAGCCTGCAATCTAGGCATGTGCCCTTGACCGGAATTGAACCTGGGACCCTTCAGTCCACAGGCTGATGCTCTATCCACTGAGCCAAACCCGCTAGGACCAAAACCTATGACTTTAATGAGAATTCTGAATTTTGCATATTCCCCCAATGCAGGCAGGATTGGGAGCTCTTTGGATTCACGCTGGAAAATTTGGTCTTTTTCTTTGGTGAGCATCTTTTGAAGTTTAAAGAACAACAACGGCTCCTTGCTTTGCTTCATTGCTGGTGAGTTTAAGTGTTTTTTATTTTTAAGTTGTAATTTATTTTGATAGTTATTTTAGGGGAAGGAGGTTCTGTTATCTGGCCTTATTTACGCTAAGAAACCACACAAAAATCTTTAACAGAAGCACTTGATAAAATACTTTAAAAATAACTTTATTATAACTAACGAATATAAAATCTGACAGATGTTTTCAAACATTTTTGCAAAAAAAGTAAAACCCTCCCTTGTTCTGCTCTTCTCCCCCAACCCCCAACAAGATACAGAGTAAGAACTTGGACAGAGTAAGAACTTGGACAGAGTTTTACATGAAACACTAAACATGAAATCTTCATTCATTGGTTGGTCCTAAAAAGGCTCCAACATATTATATTCTAAGTAAAGGTCCATCCAAATTAAGAAATCCACAAATCACTTGACACTTGTTTCCTACTGTCATTATGATGCTCAATCAAAACGTTGAAGGACAAGAACTGGTAACAAAGACTGCGTGTGACAGATATTCAAAGTGCATGAATCTATGAGACCAAGAACATTCGAGATAAGAATACTGGGGGTGGAATTAAACACTGACTTAAAAAAATTAACCCAAGGAAACCTATGTACATCATAGCCTTTGGCATCTGGTTGAACGTGTTTCTTCTTTATAGAGACATCATTTTTGTCTCATCTACTAACCAGATTAAAGTGACCTTAACACATGTCTCATCTGACACAGATTGTCCACAGCCAATTTCACATGAGGTAGTTGGGCTGTTTACTGACATTCTAGTGAACTGTCATGACACAGGAGACTCATGCATCAAATATGCCATGTGACTGGCTCATTAGCCTTCTGGGAAGCAACAGAAGTTACTTCTAGATCACCTTTCCTGTCATCACCGACTCCATGGACACCTATAAAGACACCAGCATCTACCGGAGTCTGTGTGGATGAGAACAGCTTTGCAAGGAGACCAACCATCCCGAGGAGGTTTCTGTTCATGAAGTACAGGGAGGAAATCCCACACTTTAAAATGTGTGTAAGTGGAAGGACGTGCTTAAAACAAGCAGCCCCTCTTTCTTGGGTTCTCACATAGCTTAGCTGGAAACATTTGTTCACTCTGAAGGAGAAGTGATTCAAAAGGGTAACCAAAGAATGTTTGCATCACAGAGTCATGGTACGTGTTTTCCTTTTAGTGAAAGGCTATGTAAGAACAGCAGAGGAGCAAGGTCAATGCAAGCGTCAACTGTACCATCAATAGTGCTCAGTCATGCCCGGGGGCCCTGACGCAGCTGTGCGGAGAAGCCATGCAGGTGGCTCTGGCTGCATGGATGCAGGGGGAGCGTACAGGATGGTGTAGAGAGCAGGATGCACATGGAGCTTCGAAAGGACCCGAACAACCTTGTAACAGATAAGCAGTCTTACACCACCATTAGACAGCTAGTGAATATTCATGTCATTACTGTGAAACCCCTGAGTAAGCAACTGCAGATCACAAAGGGACACTGAAGCAGGACATATTTCTAAGTAAAGTCCTCTGCACACAGTTCACAGGACACGGGTTTGCTGCACACACTGACGTCTGTGTACAGACTGTATCAGATCAAAGGACAACGGCACCAGGTCCCCAAGACCAAACACATTAGCTCAGCTAAGAGAACAATGGCTTAAAATATGCTTTACTTCTAAATCCTAAATCTAAAAGTATAAAAAAGGTGATAGTTCACCTTAGAAAGAAATGAAACATGAGGGTGGGGGGGTGAGGACTACAATCAGAAGCAAGTGATTTTAATCAGTGATTCAGAAATGCACCATTGCGTAACCACTTCTTGTAGGACATGGTAGTTTAGTAGAAAAAAAAAATAGTTTTCATTCGAAAGCTTCCTGAATGTCTCACATCATCTACTGCCCAGGACCCCTGGCGCCCGCTCGGGCCTTACATGATGCCTGAGATTTTCAGTCTGGTGAAGTTTCCTTAGTAAAATGCCCTTTACCCAGCTCTTTCACTGATTCTATACTGAATAAAGAAATGGGTACTTTATCTATTGGTCCCCACCACATATTTTAAAGATTAAAACCACTTTTCTGAAAACATGAAGGTGAAAGCATTGACTCTTTGTATGTACACACTCGCACGGTTAGTGACCGGAAGAAGGACTTTCCGAGCGACACTCCTCTAATTCCAGATCACCTTTCTGGGATGCCACGCATCCTGGGGGTCGCCTGCTTCACAGCGACCTTGGGAAGAGGGCTCTTAGGAAGCTCGTGCAGCCTGGGAGGGCGTGGAGTCCTGCTGATGAGGCACCTAAGCCTGGGCAAGGTGGGTGCCAGAAGGTGCTGCTGGGGAAAGGGCAGGGCAGCTACAGGGGCTGAGCTGATGCGAGCTGATGCTCCGATGGGGGCAGATGAGGGCAGTGCGTGAGAAAGGAGAGGCCGCCCGGCTGAACCTGCAGCTCAGCTAAACCCGGAGCTCAGCTGTCCCTCACCCTGGAACAGGCATTGGGGGAGCTTTGTGTTCAGAATGGCCGTAAACGGTGGCAAGCTGCCTCAAGCCACGACCTACAGCTCCTAATGGGCAGGGCACAGCTTTTCCAAGTCGACCCGGAGCCCCACTTCTGAACTCCCTGAAGAGCTGATGAGAAAACTGTCTCCAGTTCACTGTCAATCACGAGTGGGTGTCGCCCCCCAAAGGGCATCCCTCCAACTTAATAATTTTCACAGGATTCACTATAAAACGTCAAATGTGCTTTCAAAGGACAAAGGAGTTGCTGTCATTGAAAGGATTCTGTTCAGTGAGATTAAGAGACCAACCCCTGCCCTAACTGATTTGGCTCAATGGACAAGAGCATTGGCCTGCGGACTGAAGGGTCCCAGGTTCGATTCCAGTCAAGGGCATGTACCTTGGTTGCGGGCACATCCCCAGTAGGGGGTGTGCAGGAGGCAGCTGATCGATGTTTCTCTCTCATCGATGTTTCTAACTCTCTATCCCTCTCCCTCTCTGTAAAAAATCAATAAAATATATTAAAAAAATAAAAACGAGAGACCGACCCCTCCCGAGTGTTAAGCCTGGCTCCCACCTGTGGGACAGGTGCGGACGGGACACGATGGCGTACGGAAGACCCTGGAAGGGCTCAGCCTGGGAGACACACTACCTTTCCCTTCAGGGTCTCTCTAAGGTTCCCCTTGAAAAGGGGTCTCAGTGTTTGAGCCAGGACAGCCAGGTGACTGCTCTGTGACAAACACCGGAGCTCTGCTCTGCTCTGCTCTCCTCTCGTCTGGCCGGCAGGTGGAGGAAAGCTTTAGTGTCCTGGAATCTGGCGGGATTATGGGGGGAAAAGCCTTAATTACCTTTTCTTTGTCCCCTCCTGAGATAGTAACTGCGAAGTAGCACAAATTAGGACTTGGATTAAAATGGGGATGCAGAACAGTGGATCCAGGAGGAAGTGCCATGGGTGCCAAGCTTCAGGTTGGGTTGAACTTATCGCCTGGCACTGGGCTCAATTCCTGGTTCTTTTTATTGAAGGATTCTCAGAGCGTCACACATCTTAGGCAAACTGTATATGCTCCAGTGAGGAAAGTATCTCTCAAAAGACATCACCCCTTTCTATGGAGTTGGGAAAAGGGTGAGCAGATAATGGAACTTACCCCAGTTATCCCACTGGATTCCCGTGAGCCCAGATAACAGTAAACCCTTCCTCCCCAGAAAACCGAGGCATGTACACCATGTACCTACATCAACAGAAAACGGCCATGCCGAGCAGCTTTCTTTGTGGGAATTCACAGCTTTGCGGGCAAATCTGAGGTAATGTTCGTGTGCCCATTCCCTCACCTCGCGAGTTCGCCTGCGGCGACAGGGAGCACGCAGGTGGCTGGAACGGAATTGTCACCACACTCACAGGCTCCTGGCCGCATCCTCTCGCAGGGGCACAAGGCCTACAGCGTCTTCATTCAAGGTGCAAGCAAAGACTGGCTGTTGTCTCCTTCCCTTTAGGAGGCGATGTCAAGGGCAGGACCCCTCGTCCCCGTCATTGTCACACCAGCCACACAGGGAGATCCACACTGTTAGTCGTGGGAGGGGGAGCAACACACACACACCTTGATAAGTACCAACAGGAAGTGCTCAACTACAGAAGAACCAGCATCCTTGCAGCACCGCTTTCCTCCCCAGCCTTGAAACATCTGATGTTGCTTTTCTAAGTTGAAGCCTTTTCCAGAGTCCTTATGAACAGAGTACCTGCTTCACTAACTGAGCGAAATAAATGCCCATCTGTTCAGAGACAGACGGAAGACAAAATCAACACCCCTCCCCACATGAACCCCGCTAAGGAGGGGGTTCTTTGCCCTCGGACAGTGTCATCTGGGGCTGCCCAGGCAGCATTCACCTGCGCTGCTCAGAGGAGCTCACCTTCTCCCCTGGGAGCCGCCTCAAGGTGGAAATGCCCTCCAGCTACTCGAGGAAGCGCCTCTAGGGGGAAGGCCGTGGCTCCTCCCCAGGCACTGGGCGGTGTGGCTCCTGAGAGCAGGGCCAGAGTCCCAGGGTCACTCTTTCCAGGGCCACGCCCACACAAGGTTGTCTTAGGAAAGACTGAAATCCCGCTGGTAAACCTTGCCACAGTCCCAGAGCTTTGGAGACTGCCGAGCAGCTGCATTTAGCTTGTGTGATGGGTGGTTAAGCCAAGACTGATCAGCGAGCACACTGGGAGCCACCATCCCTGCCTGGTACACACTGGCCGGGCGCAGATGCTGGCTGAGTTAGGAAAGCTGCGGAGTAAACGTGGTGCATGTCTCACTCTCCCTTTAACTGTTATTTCCACAAAAGCCTTCTCCTCTTTGAAAAACAGGACACGTCATTTAGCTCATGTGGAAGACTGGAAATTCTGTAAACTAGGATTTAATCTCAGGATTCCTCAATGCTGTGCACACAGAATCACCAGAAAAGCACTCAGATGCCGGTTCCTGACCGGCCCACAGACCCGGTTCTCCGGGTGGGTCAGCCTGGGACTGTGCTTTCTGACCGGCACTCCATGTGACTTTGACAGGGAAGGGTCACAATCACACCTGGACATTACCTGGTTCCTGTTTAGAGGCTGTGCATGGTGAGCAGAAAAATCCCTCCACCTCTGAGCCCTACTTTTGAAATTGGGTAACAACCCCCGAATGTCACGGTGTCGCTATGGTGTCCAATGGAGACAATGTCTGGGGAAGCATGGGAACGAGGGTGGGCACTAGGCAGGGTCGTCAGGGAGGCCTCAGCGTGGGGCACACTCAGCTCTGCAGAGCCATCATCTTCCCACCCCTCACGGGATGGCACTCCTCTGGGTGTCTTCCACCTCCTGCTGGCATGTCGCACACACGCTCTGCACACTCGACGACAGGCCCCTCTCGCCCAGAGCCCCGGAGAGAATATCCTCTTACACCTCACAGCTTCCACCGGGGGCCTAGCTCCCCCTAAAGCTTCAGTCTAATCCTAAATTGGCTGAAACACTACCCGTGAGTTACAGTCCTTGATACAGAATTTGCTCATTTTCAGCTTGGGTTGGGTGGCCCATTAAAACTTAAAGCTAAAAACAAAACAAAACAAGACCCAAGAAATTTACTTGTCAAATCTGCTCTTATAACTTGCTGTTCAAGTCTCTAAAACAGCTACAATTTGGTTTCCAGGAGGCCCTTTGAACTGAAATATATAGCACCTTGATTTTTAAACACACAAAACATGTACGCATTTAAAAATGATATATAAAAGCACTAGGTTTTGCCTCCATCTCTCCATGGCCGGCATAAGGGATGGAGAGGGTTGAAGCTGCTGCTGGAAATGAAGTGGGGCAGCCAAACGCGGCAGCAAGCTCTTCCCTGCAGTGGGCGGTGCTGTCCCGCAGGCGTCACACCACCTCGTCGCTCTCCAGCCCGTGGGCGTCGTACAGCGCGTCCAGGATGGCCAGCTGCCTTTCCATGGCAGGGAGGTAGAGGCTCAGGTCCCTCTGCATCCCGACACTGAAAGCGGCTTTCTGGTGGTCGCCCTCCTTTATGGTTAACGCGGCCACAAAATCTTCATAGGACGGAGCTGCCCTCAAAGCCAGCTGCAAAAGAATTGCTGTGAGAATGCGCATCACTCTCGCTCTTGCACACACACAGACACACACGCACACACACACACAGCTGAGGAGTGCAAAAGTAACAATAGGAATATACCCTTCAAATTTGTGGACTCTAAAATTTTTTTCAAGCAACAAATCAAATAGTTTTAAGGCTAGAAGAAGCAGGTATGTACCTGGGCCAACTTGAGGATGAATAAAGCCATCAAGCCAGGGAGTGCTGACAGAAAAGTTTAAGAAAAGCTCCGGTCTCATGCACTGTGTGATTGAGAGGGTTCCCCTTGAACCCCCAGAATCCACCTGTATGTGCACTGCTGCCCGTGTTTGTCCCGTCCTGGCCAGCCTCCAGAGCACATCACTCTCCTAGCTGGCTCTCATCACCATACCTCCGTTTCTCTGCGCACCTCCCATCTCCCCCCACGTGGACAATATCCCCTTCACACTCTGGACTGAACATTCTGTTTGCTTGTGCACTGATGCTTTCATGCATTCTACCCCAGTTCATCTCTCTAGGAACCCTGTACAGTTCATATCCCTATTTTGCAGATGAATGTCACGTAGCTAATGAGTGCCCAGCCAGGACCTGAGCTTCGGGTCGTCTCTGTGCTTTGTCAACTGCACTCTCACACCACATCGCTCCCGACAGAAGAGCTCCCCTCCCTTTGCAGACCACCTGCTCCCTAAGCTCCCTAAAATCCATGTCTGGCTCTGCTGAGATCTCTGGAGACGCTTTAGAATCTTGAATTATCATTCTACAGTTTCTTGAGCGTCCTTACACTTTGAATTTGAAAGCGTTTGGGAATCAACCCTCCCCCTTTGTGCAGCTGGAGAGTGACTGGCATTTATCTCTCAATGTTTACAGCACAGGCCTCCTGCCTGGGTGAAGACCTGGACTTGACCCCAAATCTTTCACTTGTTTGCTTGAGGAATTTCAGCAAGGTGCTCGACCTCCGAGAACCTCAGTTCCCTGATTTGGAGCAGAGAACTGGTCCCACTTTCCTTACTTGAAGGACTAATGGAATATGTATGACATGCTTAACCTACTGCCAGGCACATGTAAAATACTCAAATGATGGTCGCGGTACATGGGAGAGAGCAGAGAATATAGAGAGGGCAACTATCCAAAATTATAATGTGAGAAAATCTCCCAGAACCGAAGAGTAGGAGACTCCAGATTTAGAGACACACCCAAGTACTCAGTGCAATGGATGATAAAGATCAAAGGGGGAACGTGATAAAATTTTAGAATGTGGGATAAAGAAAAGATCCCAAAAGCATACAGAAGAGGAGGAGGGGCAGTTTATACAAAATAGAATGGGAATTAGAATGACATTAAATTTTACAATAGTAACAGTGGAAGATGGAGGACAACAGAGGTATGGCTTCAAAATTCTGAGATATTAACCTAGAATTCTACACCCACCAACACACACGCTAGAAAACAGGGCAGCATAAAGACATTTTCAGGCATGCAGGCACTCAAAAGTTTAGCACCCTCGTATCCTTCCCCTTAGGGAGCTGCTGGAGAATGGATTCCACCAAAATGATGGGTGAGATGGAGATACCTGGTCCAGGCCCTGGGAAATGAAATGAGGGTGAGGTGGGGATTTAATAATGTAGAACTTGTGAGGAAAAGTCCTCGGGCAATATAGCACAACAGGCCTGAACAACTAACTCAGACTGGAATGGGTTTAGAAAGTTCTGACAGGGAAGTCTCCAGGGAAAAAACATATAATGACACATTTGTGAGTTCAGAGTGATGGTGCTTTGAGAGGTCTGATGGTGCAGGGAAAAATAAAAACATATAAGAAAGAACCAAAAAACCTATAGAATTCTGGCTCATTGTCATAATGTTAACTTGTGAGTCATTATTTTGGGGTGGTGGAGGCAGCGGAGGTGAGATAGTGACAGGGAGGTCTAAGAGAGCTAAATTCTCATCTATAACAGAAAGTTGACATTTAGTGACTATGACTGATCAGGCCACAAAGAACAATAGACATTCTTAGAATCCCGGAGGTATTAGAAGAAACAGCCACAGTGGTTGAAAGTGGCCGCCTCTTTGGAGTAAGTGTGGAAGTAGGGAGCCGAAGCAGGGACGCTATTTGTTGCTGTAACATTTTGTATAAACCCCATGCACAAATGTTTTAGTATAATAAGACATTTAAAAAGTTTTCCCAGAGTGGGGCCCAGGGATTTCCTCAAAGGCTCCTAGAATATTATGATGAAGCCACGTCTATTTGGGAACTAATGATAGAACTCAACTGAAGAGGAAACCAAAAAGGCTAAGTGATGACGGTGAGTGACCTCGATGGAGGCAGAACCTGGACTGGGCATCAATCAGTTCTGTAGACTATGTCTGTTTGAAGATAAAAGCTCACTATTTGGCTGATGAGTGAATCAAATTCCTTGAGTGTAAAAGATGTTTCCCTGAGCAACTGAGATAGTTAAATGCACTTGCACCTGCTAATTAATCAGCACATTAGGAAACTCAATAAACTTTCCAAAGCAGGAATGACTGGGAGAGGCTGAAAGGGCCAATCTGGCTCCTCTATTGAGAAGGCTGTTGCCAAAGGCTCGACATAATCTATTTTCTTAAAAACCAGCAACTAATCTATTTTCTTAAAAACCAGCAACTTTTAAAAGTATTGGCAATAATATCAAAAACTTTCAATTATCTGCCCCTTTGTGTCTCAGATTTCTTTGTCAACAAGTAAGGAAAATAAGAGAACCTGCTGAGTTATGAAATTAATAACTTGCTGAGTTATGAAATTAATAACTTCACACACATAGAGCACTTAAAACAATGCCTAGTGCACGGTCAATGCTCAAAATTCCAAGTTATGGTTGTAGTTATTGGCCTTAGACACAGCAATTTTAATTCTAGGAACCTATTTGAGAGAATAAGAGTTTTTTTTTAAGTAAAAAATGCATATGAACAGACACTGTTTTATCTGTATTAAGAAACTTAGAAGCAGCTTAAATTTCCAACACAGAGGATTGGACAAAAAAATTATGGAACCTCCATAGTAGGGAAATATTGTACAATCACTAAAAATAACAGTTTTCAAAAACTTATGGCATTAAAAAATGGTCACGATAGAATCTATTATGTGGGGAGAAAGAATACAAAATTATACTACAAGCTAAAGTAAAAAAAATTACATGCATGTACAAAGCACACCAAATAAAGATAATTATAAACATCTAATATAAACATGTCGATATAAAATATAAACACTTGTAAGTAGATACGTATTTAGAAATATATAAAATTAAATAGAATATTTAAAAGAATATATAAAATATATAAAAATGAAAGTGAGAAAGGTAAATCACAAAAATATTAAAAATAGTTCTATGGAGTGATAAGACTATGGACAAGTTTAATTCCCCCCCTTCCTATTCTTCCATAACTTCTACAATGCATTGTGATGCGTCTAAATTACTACATATTAGGGAAAATGCCATAAATTAAAAAGCCCTTTTAAAGACTCGTGCTTACAATAAATTTTCTGCTATAGCTGCATTCTTGTTGACAGTATCCCTTCGATCATTAATATTTCAGGACTTAACTTTACCTCTACACTGCACCCTCCCCCTCCCCCACATTTACGCTTCTTTTACACAGGGCAACTCAGTGCTTTAATGCTTTGTCATCTGACAGTATTTACTCAGGGAGACTGATGAATGGAGCAGCATCTACTGCCCAGTTATTCACCAGCAGCTTCTCGATTCTTCTGTGCTCCCTGCGGAGACTGTGTGTGGGGAGTGAGCACAGCCTCAGGAGACAGCTGGTAGCGCACTTTGGGACTGGAATGAATAGCCCTGAATTTATAAAACAGTGGGAGCCAATGCTGAGGATTCCCAAAGGTAAGAAACGTGGACGTGCCTGGCACGATGCCCAGCACACAATAGGTGTCCAGCAGCTGCACGGCAGCTATTATTCTAACAGGCACTGAAGGACGTGTGGGCAGTTTGTAGCTGCAACGAGTCTGGCTCCTATTATCTCCACGCTTTCAAAAATGATTTCATTTGCACTAAAATTTGATTTCTTCCACTTAAGTTCTTCCCACTTTCTTTACCTGCCTCCAAATAAATCATGACCTAAAACAGTTCCTGCCTTAGGCAAATGATGCCTCCTGTCCTTTC